AAGTGGTCTAGCAAACTAAGACTAGTAATTTCTACCTGTTTGATAATCATGAACTTTTGTCTGGCTTGTGTCTTTCTGTCACTCGCTAATATGTTTGCTTTATCAAGGAGAAGTTCTGTTATCACATCTGTAAACTCTTAAATTTGTGGAGTGTAATTTGTCTCATCTCTCACTCTAACCCTTCACCTACTTCAGAATTTATCTTTTTTCATGATATTTCGCCGTCAACTTCCATCAAAGAAATATTCTTCTTGATGGAGAAGACCTAAATAAAATGCAGGTAGAGAAGTTATGATTTTTTAATGCTGCTTGTTTTAAATAATATTATACCAATGACTCTCAACTGGTCCTTCTTTTTTCTCCCAAGATAATATTAGTTATTTTACTAATAGATCTTAACTTTCATATGAATTCAGTTTTAGTCTTTCTGGTATTACTACTATCGTTCCATATAGTGTTGTTCTTTTTATTTAATTAAAAAATATTGTTTCCAAAATCATTTTTACCGGGAGCTAATACAGATATCATATAATTTCATAATCCAATCACATCAAGCAGTATTGTACAATTGCTACAATAATCAGTGTCAAGGACTGCTTGACATAAGCTCCCTTTTACCTACCCCCACACCGGTACCCCCCCCCCCTGCAAGAAACTCGTATTCTACGTGCTGTCTCTATAGGTTTATCAATCCTGGATTTCATATAGTGAAAAACATATCACAAAAATTCAAGAGGGTCACCCTGAATGATAAAGTTTAGCTGAGATAAACCCCAATATGAACAATAATGACAAAATCACACATAACGTGTTGAAGACCATATCAGGCTCAACGTGCATCAGAGGAGGGGGATCAACTGACAGGGTTTTAACCATTCAAGTCAGGTTTATCATTTTGACCTCCTAAAGTCATCGCTCCAATGGACTCTGTTTGGAAATCAGTTTCTTCCCATCCCTCGATTATGGATAGAAGGCAATCACCAGAGGCTTGTTTCCTATGTGGATCTCATGAATGTGCCTTGGGTTCCCACTGTCATGCATGGCCTTCTGCAAGCCAGAATCTCACAATTTAGGCTCTGATACCAGTTCCTCCTTCAGCTCCAGATTAGGTGATTTACAATCCTTCGATCACTGAGGTTGGCATGCTGCTTCCATGTGGACTTAATTGACATCTCACTTCATGGCTGTCGTTTGGAGACAAGTCTTTTAAGAACGTTGGCTATGTGGCTTCGTGACGTTTTTTTCTTGCAATCTATTACTTGTCAACAAAACAGCCCCTAACACGAATTGAGTTCAAGTACAACCAAAATTTAAAACAGAGAATTTACAGTCACTCCATAGAAAAGTGAAAATTCACAAATAAATTAAACAAAGCATGTACAGGATCTATACGCTGATAATAATAAGTCCTAGAAACAAACAAAAAACCTTTAAAGAGTTGTTTTGGCAGAGCGAACTTTTTAATTTTAAAATTTTATAGAAAAGCACTTTTTAATTTTGATGAGACTCAATTTATCAATTTCCCCTTTTATACATTGTACTTTTGTTAAGTCAAAAAATTATTCACCTGTCCCTAGCTACCAAAGATTTTCTCTTGTTTCATTCTAAAAGTTGCAACTCATCAAAGTAAAATGTAAAACATTTTCTTTTGATGCCTCTTATTTCTTTTCTTGCCTTATTGTTCTGGTGAGGACTCCCAGTGCTGTGCTGAGTAACAGTAACACACAGGAAGGTGAGCAGTAAGTGGGAGCAGAAGTCCCTGCCTTAGTCCTAACTAGAGGGGGAAAAGAGTATGAATTTATTTTGGATATCCTATAAATGCTCGTTTTCAAATTAAAGAAGTTCTCTATTCCTTGTTTGCGATGAATATTTTTTTGTGGTGAATGTATTGGATTTAGTCAAGTGTATTTCTTATCAATTTGATGCGTCAATATAAAAACTTGTAGTCACTGGGGGACATTTTAGAATTCTTTAAAACAATCTTATAATATTTTTAGCACATCACTTTGAATGGCTTTCTTAGTAAATATAATAGTATACATAATATCAGTCTATTGATCTTGACATTTTATCACTTTGAGTAAAATGAAGAAACCTCCATATATCCTTTTACGGCTCCTAATTTTTAAGAAATTCCACTTCATAAATTGAACACCACATCAGAAGGTGTTATGGTTTTTGTTTTAACTATCAAATGTGGTTTTTAACTCATGAGGGGAAAAAGTTATAATAGATACCCCTATTTTTACCAATTTTATTATTTCTTCCTTCCTCAAGTTCTATATATTTTTTCTTATCGTTTCTTTCTCTTTAGAGAACTTCTCTTAACCATTCTTTAAAGGCATTCAAAACTCAAACTCACTACCATTTAGGTTATTCTGATGCAAAGTGACCCTGGAGGAGGGGGCAGAACTGCCGTGTGATTCAGAGACTGTAACTCTACTCTCACAGAGTGGCTGCTGGTTTCAAACTGCTGAACTTGTGGTTAGCAGATAAAAGCGGTAGCTGTAGGCCCCTTTAGTAGTCCTTCATAGTACTTCATCTCAGGATGCTCGATTTTCCCTTCATGACTGGATATACAGGTCAAGAAGCGTCCAGGATATTTGGGGAATTTGAAATGCAGACAAGGTTCAGAGTGAGGTGGCGCAGCAGCAGAAGTGCCCCCACCCCAACTCAGAGGATCCAGAGAAGCTGTTTCCGAACCAGAGAGATTCCACTGCGCTCCCCAATAGACGCGTGGGAGTCAGCCATGTGACAGGGAAGAAGGACAGTGGGACAAAGGAAGTCAGTCTGAGGCAGTACGGTGTGACTGTGAACCGACGTCATGTGGCTCATGGTCATGCCAAGTTGTAGTCTTGAATTCAGCCATGAAGGCTGGTTGACAGCCAGCTTTATGTGCCAAGTGTGGATTTTGGTTTGTTCTGAGGACCATGAACGACCGTTGCAGGAATGAGGGTAGAGGAGCCACTTTGCTAGATTGTGCACTGGGGCACTGCTCTGGGAACCTGGCTTCAGGGGCTGGGGGTGGGGGAGCAGAGGGTGAGGAACACAGTGCTAGACAAAGTGGCGCCAAACTAAAAAGCCAACTAGCCAGTAATA